CTGTGCCTCGGTACACTAGTGTGTCGTTAGTGATGGTCAGGTGTGCCGTAGAAAATCATCCTATTTCACCTCATTGGTCTAAAAAGATTTTTGGATAAGGAATTAATTATCTGCAAATAATGTCATTTTTGAGTGTCTGTGCTGTACTAGTGACTGGTGGCGTAATCATGTAATAATTCCTTATGACTAGATTTTATATATATTTTGTATATTGAAGTGGACATGTTTAGTGCAATTTGAAAGAAGAAATATAAAATATGATAAAAATACATTTTTGTGTTTATTTGATTCCTATTCAAGACACTTAAGATAAGATAAGAATAAAATAAGAATAACTATAGTGTTACTATAAGCGGCTACAGATTTGTTTGACATTTTTGGTTGGTGGTGTGCCTCGAGATTTTTTCAATGAAAAACTGTACCTTGGCTCAAAAAAGGTTGAAAAACACTGCCCTAGCTTATGAGCAGAAAGGATATTAAATCTCGTGGCGCTCTGTGTTCGAGGGTGAGGTGGGCTGTGAAGTCGTCTGTGACGTGGTTGGGGTCTCCTCCCGGCAAGGCAGCGCAGATGGGACAGATCTGAAAGATAAAAAAAATACGAGATAAATTCAAAAGGTACCAAATCAATTCTGAAAATCCAAATATCAGAGCATGTGTTAAAGTCTAAAGTTATTTATCTACTTACTTAGTTGTCAGACTCATGTTGAACAGGGATTTACTCTGATAACAACTTAATGGTTGGGACACAGACCTGTGGGTTACAGATGCTAATGCTAACGCTAATGCTCGTGTGGGATCGACTTAAAAAAAAAACTGGATCTGGAGTCTGGATCTGTATTTTCTCCTGCCGGCCGATACGCAGTTTTTTACGAATATCGGCCAATCGGATCCAGATATCGGATCGGGACAAACCTACTCATGATGCAAAGTTAAAGGAAAACTGGGCTTGTTTTCACTGTGAACCATAACCAGCTCTCTGGGCTAACGCAGCATAAAGGCAGCAGCCTGAGACAAAATCCATTTTCCACACAGGGGTAAACAAGTCTGGCCCTTCTCTGGATGCTCACACGGCTAAATCAGAGGAATTCGCCTTTCTTGGAATACGACAACAGATGGCAGCCCAGAAACAGAGAAATACCTTTGAAAACTCAGCATCCAACCCTCCCACTAGAGCCTGAAGGGTCCAGGTCCAACACAGGAAGTTATTCATGGAAGGCCAACGTCAACAGGGGGGGGGACTGGTACCGGACTAAACATTAAACCAAATAACTAAACTAAACCAAATAAACATCCGTTTGGAAGGTTCTCTCAGGGGCCAAAAAAATAGGTATGACATCTTTATCTTTTCAAAGATAATTAACATTCCTTTAGGTGTCTCCTTTGGCTCCCTAACAAATATTTCCACTTTAAACTTGTTATTATAATGAAGTCTTGTTTTTTATGTAGGCTACATATTCAGCTTTTGTGGTGTCGGACCACAAATCTTCCCAACATTTAAGCTTCAGTTTATTATTGATAATGTTTATTCAAGGCAACCAGGAAGTCAAGAGTCAATTTTAAGTATCGAATACGACAAAAACAATTAAAAAAATTGCAGTTTCGGTTTTTAATTTGGGTGGAAAAACACATTTCACAACCCAAACGCTGCCTTCAAACAGCCCTCTGGAAGTTACTGAAACCTTATTGAGCTGAGGTGAACTGGGAGTGCTGGTAGGACTTGGGATTCGTACTCACCACCTCTGTGGAGGTTTCCGAATGCTCGGAG